ACTGACCTGCATAATAAGATTACTTTATAATTCAAACTAAACTCCTAATTTTAAGACAGACATAAGGAAAACTCCGTGGGAAATTTTCAGTGCTTGACAATGTAAATGTTTGAAGAAAGCATAATTTCCTTTCTTGAAAAAAACTCCCATCATATTATGAGGATTTGGGAAAAATTACTGGTACTTACTTTCAGATGCACATCAAAGAATCTTTTTACTTGAGCTGAGAGTACCTTTTTGTCTTCCTTGGATGGACCCATTAAAATGGGAGATGAAATGTCTGGTTTCATTTTTGGTCAACTCATGTATTAAACTTAGGCCAGCTTCTGGATTTATGAATGCATATGTGGCTTCTGTCTAATTCTGTTCTGAATCCTGTGAAAGAAACACTTGCATCAGATGTGTATTATACTGTCATTAAAATGTACATAAATTCCTGTGTAGTCCGCTAACACATTAAGACACTCCATTAAACCTGGGTTGCATTTTTTCACAGATATATAAATTGTGACAGAAATACCTGATAGGTGGGTATGTTAATTTAAAAAAATGAATTTGTTTTAAACCGGTTGAGAAACTCTTATCTAAACCCAGGTTTCTTCAGTATCTCTTATGCTCTTGGCATATTGGGTAAGTGTGGCAGTTTAAACTCAGCCAGCAGCTAAGTACTGCGCAGCTGCTTGCTTACTCCCCTCCACTTCCTGCTGGAGAATTTTTTTCAATTTTTACAGAAATGTAAAAAGCCATGCGTTAAGAACAGTATAGTAACTGAAATATAACCATCATCATCATCATAGGAAATAGGAAATAGAGAGAGAGGAAGGAATACATCCCACCCCCTAGGAAAAAAAGAAACAAGTGATGCACAATGAAATTTCTCACCACCTGCTGACCAGTACCCAGCCTGACCTGAGCAGCATTGGTCCTTTCCAGGTAACTCCCCCCAGTTTATATACTGGGCATGATGTGCTGTGGTAGAATATCCCTTTGGCTAGTTTAGCTCAGTTGTCCTGACTCTGCTCCCTCCTGACTTCTTGTGCCCCTCTTCACAGAGCACAAGAGACTGAAAAGCCCTGGTTCAACAAGCAACAACCAAAACACTGGTGTGTTATTAGTGTTGTTCTCAGAATAAAGCTGAAGCACAGCACTGCACCAGCCACTAGGAAGAAAAATAACTATTCCAGCTGAAACCAGTGCAGTAATGTATTTGCCAGGATAGAGGTCAGTGTGGCAAACCCATGCTTAGCTTTTTCAGAGTCAAAAGCCAGTTGAACAACCTCTCAGAATTCTGACTCTTATTTGAAGCTGTTCTTTTCAGGTGTCTGTACTTTGTACCTCTCTGTCTGGAGATTTTCCTCTTAAATTGATAGTTTTCACAGAATCGTAGCAGGTTATGTCGCAGTGGTGCTGTAAAGCAGGGCCAACTATTCTTAAGTATTTCTGGCAGAAATTAGTCTAACCTGTTCTTAGAATGTCAGTCTCTTAAAGGACACCTGCAGTAATAAAGAACAATTTTTAACCTGAAGTGATCTGTTATGGTGCATAGTCTTACCTTACAGTATTTTGCTTTAGAATAGAATGTTTCTCTTTAATGGCCATCTAGGACAAATGCCAACTGGTCATCTAGTCCAACTGCCTACTGCTCATGATGGGTTAAGCTCTGCCCCAGCCACCTTTTGTTTCCCACTGGCATTTTTTTACTGGTGTAAGGCCTGTATTGAAACACTGGTGTGTTCCTTTGAGGGTACCTGTTCCTTTGAGGTTACCTGTCTACTAATTTAATGCAGGCATGTGAATGGAGATACATCATTGCTTTCAGTGAGGCAGATTAAGTCTTCTTTGATATGATAGTCTAAACTATCTACAAATTCAAGAGTTTATGTAGTCCTTCATTTTCTTAAACTGTATACCTCTGCATGTTGTTGGATTGACACTGTAGTCCATCCTTTGATTTAGCAAAGCTCCTTGTTAAACTTCTGGAAGTTTATACAGCTATTATGTTCATACATTAGTTCAAAAATTGTACAGACATGGATCCTTACAGAACACTCATGTTAGAAAAGTAAGCTAGTTGTTGAAACCCAGTTTAAAAGTTGAAACCATGTTTAAAGGTGAATGGTAGAGCCTTTCTGAGAGCATAGGTTCATGGAAGCAGAGTTCCAATTATAAATTGGGACTTCTGAATTCCTACCATGTGCTCAAGTCACTAACCCTACTATCATGTTATAGATTTACACTATTTTCCAATACCTACCTGCTGCTTAAAATCTACCCTGAAACATACCTGGGGTATTGACTGCAGTTGTGCCTTCTGCATCATCTTTGTCAGAAGACCATCTCTGTTATACGTCAACTGCTCAACTAGCTGCTTTAGTAGTCTTCCTGTGTATTAATTTATATCATATAACATCTTTTAGGATCAACATTTCTACATATGATTAGGTTAGCCATTACTAAGAGCAGAAAATGAAAGTCTTTAATACAGTTCTTAGGAAAAGAATTATCTTTTATTTTAGAGATAAGTAAGCCAAGCCCAGTAATACATTAAGTGAAACAACATTTATAAGAACATTTTATGTTCCCTATTGTGAACTTCCCATCTTGTTCTTAAATCAGTACAACATATTTTTCTTTGAAGACAGAATCAAACAGGCAACTATTTTACTGTAAAGAGTTATTAACACTTTGCCAGAAATATGATTTGTATAAGAAAATTTATACTAGCAGAGAGGAAAACAAAACTTACAAAAACTGTTTTAACTCTACCAGCTCTTGACTTATCATTTGTAGGATATCAAAGGTCGGGCACCTCTCTCCACTGAAAGGCTCACCCAGCCTACACTTGGCTATGCCAGTCATGGTGATGATGATAGCTGTTTCAAAAAATTGTAGCGTGCTGTTTCTGTCATATGAGTTCTGCTCTCTTCCTACCATGTGAGCCTCATATCCAAAGACTATTTTACTGAGTAATCTGAAGTGTGCAAAATCAACCCTCAGGATTGCAGATTTTGTATATTCTGTATATCGATTCACAATATATTGTATATTGATTCACAATATACAGAGTAGTTATGGGCTCTAAGTACTGTAAGTTGATTGAATTCCATGCAATGGGTGGAAGTTATGTTATACTGCTTTAGATCAGCTGAGCCACTTCTGGGAATACTCAAATTTGTTCAGTTCAGTAAGGAAGTATTCTGACTGAGATATAAGATATTTACCTATAGAGGAAGAGAGGTTCTGCTTCACACAGCCTCTCTAATTTACGTTTCTTTTGTATACGTTTCTGATGTTTCCTGCTGAAATTCACTGTATCTATTACAATAATCCTTTAATAAGATTTTAATAATTAAATAATTATCTCTTTTACAAAAAAATGAAATACATGTGGAGGTAAGAGAAAGTATCTTTTTAAAATTTGATGTCACTCCATCCTGTCTGATAAGTGTTGGGAACCATAATGACCTTTTGATGGTGAAACAGAGCAAATGTGCCGACAGGGTGTTGCAAAATTGAGGTACACACAAAGGGGATCAACCACAGAGGCTTCTCCTTTGATCTTGGATCCTTTCCAATCCATTTAGAATCTTAGCCTCCAATTCAATATTAATAGAAATATTAACTGTAAAGCAACTGTAATTAGCTAGCAAGTAAGCTAGAAGCTCTGTCCTCAGTGCAGTGCTTCAGACATGTATCGCTTCTGGGAAAACGTGACTGTAGTAAACAGCTGAGTTCTTAAATTACTCAGTATCATAAACCAGTTTCTATTGGGAAAGAGTTGTACCCCACTTCAAACTCAAGGTAAAATCACGTTGTATGTTGAATAGTTTAGAATCAGTTTTTGCTGCCATTCCGGTCAGGTATTGTAAATCCTTCTGCTTTAGTTTCTGAGAAAAACAGCATGGACACTTTGGGAATAAATTCAGAGATTGCAGCTAAAGTGGCTATTTTAACTGCAATCTGATTTAGGTCTGATATGAAATAAATCAATTCATTTTCAAAGAAATTACACATCAGCGACAGCTGCACCATGGTAAGAATACAGCATGGATTTGCTTTAAAATGAATCCAACATCTTTAAAACCTGCATGTGGTACCATTATACCACTGGATGCGGAGGAACCTGGCCTCATCCTACCATTGTTAGCTCTGGAACAGAGAGTGGGGAAGTGTGATGCTGAGACACCTCAGTTAGTTGGAGGTGAGCCAGCTTTGATTAGGATGCCTTGACAGCTTGACAATAGTGGTCGGGCTAATAAGTGGCTGGAAGTCGATGCTTATTAGCTCTGATGTACTGCTAAGGTCTTGTGGGCTATATAGTGTCTTATTCCTAAACTGGAAGGTCCACCATTGTGCTCAGCATGTGAGTGATTTTGGCCTGCCATATCTGTTATGCTTTGGCTGAAGAATGATTTATGCTAAAATTTGTGAAGTTTCCATTCTTTAAGAATATTTTCAGAAGTGTTGAGTTTATGAATGCACATAAATAATATGGGCCTGCTTATGTTGGCAAGCCAAAGAGCATTGTGGTTTGCAAAGCATTGTCAGTTTCTGTCAATACCAGACCAAGTAGTGATCGTTGATTATTTATTAACAGTTCAGTTTCTTAGCACTGCTAATACTATTAGTACCATGATTTAAGGACAAAATCACTGCCAGGGTCCTCACCAAATAGCACCTTGTGTAATTAATATACTAACTAGACAAAATTTCATGTTCTTACTGGGTAAATGGTTTTCCGCATCCTTCTGAAATTTTTGTGTATGCAACTGTACTGTCCTGTTCTAGAGGTAATGGGTGAAGGAAACCCCTGAGGTAGCTTGTGTGTGGATGGACAAAACATATATGGGGCCTTCCAGATGAGAAGGATCACATCTATGTGAATAACACGGTTTATTCAAGAGTCTTGAAAATGGTGTTTAGGAAAGCTGTTTATGAAGATCAAGGCTATACCCTTAGGGATTTGATTTTGAACAAGATTTTTTTACTTTGTGTTTCAGTGGCTGTTCCCTCACCAGTGCCAGCTTGTGAACCTGAGCCCAAAACTAACGGGCATAACCCAGCTCCACGACTCTCCATTTCATCCCGAGCTGCTGTTGTTGCTACCATGGAAGCCCCTTCTCAAGGCCTGCAGACAGTCATGAAGTGGAAAACAGTGGTGGCCGTCTTTGTCGTCGTGGTAGTTTACCTGGTGACAGGAGGACTTGTCTTCCGCGCCCTGGAGCAGCCCTTTGAAAGCAGGCAGAAGAACACGATCGCTCTAGAGAAGGCTGACTTTCTTCGGGAACATGTTTGTGTAACTCAGCTAGAGCTGGAGACATTGATTCAGGTAGGCCACATGAAGAAGACAGTACCTCTTGCAAGCTGGGATAAACATCTTGATGTTTTTTTGCTCAGCTGAGTTGGTGCAGAATAAAATTGCTCATAGAATCCTCACAATGGTCAGTGTGAAGAGCAGGCTCTTTCCCAGTCATTTTAAAGTCTGAGAAATAGAAACTATGGCTCCAAAACATTGTAAATAAAAGTTAAATGTATTCACTAGAATAATGAAAAATGTGTGCAAGGAAAATCAGAACTTAATATCTGGACGAAATTCTTGTGAGAGGTGACAGATTTGCAAGACACTTGCTCACCATCTCTGAGTTTTCAAATGATATTAAATTCTTAATTCTTCCTTAAAAATTAAACACAGCAACCAGGAAAGCAAACAAAAAAGGATAGGTGGGAATTTTGAAGTAAATATTCAGCCCAGAATTCCAAACTTAGTGTAAAACATTACTTCACAGGTTTACTATCGTGAATTTTAGGTAAATGAATAATGATAAAGTAGCAATTGAAAATAGGAAATAATTGGTATTTAAGAACTACAGAATTTTTAGTCCGGTCTAGCATGCAAAGCTTTAGAATCCATTTTGAAGGAAGTAACTATCAAGTATGTTGAAACAAGTGGAAAATGGAATAACGTGTAAGAAAGGTCTACCAAGGTTAGAGTTATCTTTTATTGATTAGAACTCTTGACAAGGAAAGTTATTATGGATGTTAGAAGACTCTCATCTGTTGCCTGGAGAAAACAGATTAGGTAAGAAATGTGAGATACCTAGGGTGTATATTCCAAAGCTGAATTTCAGCCTCATATTTCTGACCTGAATTTTTGTCTGAGATTTCCAAGAGCACAATGTGTTTCCCTCTGGGATGTCGCACCATGTCGCATGTTGGGATTTCAGTCTGTTTGAAAGAACACAGAGCTATCCCCTGGATTCCTGTGTCCATCAGCCCAACCATGTTATAAAACTCTTTCTCTAAGTGAACCAAATTTATTATCTTAGCATTTTTTAAGAGGCTGTTCCAGTGTCTCATTGCTGTAATGGAAAAAGCATTCTTCTACTTTTCAGCTTAAACTTGTTCAGTTTCCTTGTAGATGGTGTTCCACAATATCCCATTGTTTAACTGATTCCTCTTCCTTGTCCACATGTGTAGATAGCAGTGCTCTTCTGCCTCTTCTAAGCAAAAAAAAAGTAATTCTGTTTCTTTGCAGACAGATGTGGGTTCTCCCTGCTTGTGGCCTGTGTTCACAGAAAGACAGGTCAGTTCTGAGTCAGAAACTGTGTACCTGCACCTTTGGGCAGCCTACTACTGTAGCTAAGAAGCCAAACCTGCTTCAGCAGGAAGTGGTACTGTGCTGATGTGACTGTACAGCTTTTGGATCAGCTTGATCACATCCTTCATCTATCTGCAGAAGGCAGATGAACATGTTCAGTTTTCAGGGTGAGTCCTGTTAAGGGCTGTTGGATCAGACGTGCTTCTCATGGCAGTGCTGCAGAGATCCTCATTTCCCTCAGCTCTTCCTGTGTAACGTATGCTGTCTGATTCAAGGATTTAAAAAAAACCACTAAAAGCAAGAAATTTGTATTCCCTTGATGGGAATGTCACTATTAAAAAGGTCTGTAAAATGCTATCTTTTCTAGCAGAAAGCAGAGCACATATTAAATGCAACAACCAAAGCACCTATGCAGTGTGGTAGACTCCTGCATATCAACTGCAGTGCAAAGAGTTTTAAATAGCCCATTCTAAAAAATAAATATCTCTAAGATACATGACAGTTTTAATTCTTTATTTTACACAAATTTTTTTTCTTCTATCACCTCAAAAGTGGTGACACTAAAATAAAAATACAGGCATATTGTGTCATCAGAAGGCAGATACTCTGAAAGAATCTTATCTCCTGAGATTTCAGTATGCCCTCAGGCATTACACTGGGCAACTGGAAATCATTTTGCAAAGGTAAATTAAATTGGTTTAGCAGCTTAGCATGTGAATGTCTTATGGCCAACAGATGTGAAATATTGAAACAGATTTGTCAATAAAGAACAAGTTCCTTCGGATTCTGCTGTAAGTCCAGGTGTGAAAGTGGCTCCAGGGATGTAATTTGGTACGCTGATACAGAAAACTCTGATTGTATCTAACTAGCACAGCAGTGAAACACTGCTTGAAGATAACCTTAACACTGTGCTTTCATGCCTTCATTTTGATGATTTCAAAAGGGACATCTCCCTGGCTGGCACAATGCATCTCTGCATTGCACCGAATGCTGTGTCTGCCTTTACAATTGTGATTTCAGACTGATGTGGCAACTTCCATGGGTCCTGGCTGCTGTGCTGTGTACAGTCAGCACCTGGCTACTGCTAAGGGATCTGTTTGTAATTCATGTTACTTGGCTACCTGAAAGCATTTAGATGAACACAGATCATGCTCTCCATAATAACTGTTGCTTCACCTCTGTGCTTTGGAGAATATGGAAAAGCACGTTCTCTAAATACGAGAGACCTTTAGAACCAGTTTGTATCCTTTTCCTGTCAGGGTAGCTCTGGAACAATTTTTAAGGAGAAGAGGAAAGGAGTGTCATGGTCTTTACACGGCTAATGATGAATATATTTATTGGTTTGCTTAAATTTCAATCTTTCAAAGCATTCTCCTTTGGGAAATCTATAAGGAAGTGGCTCAGCACTGTATGAAGCAGCTGTTAAAGTTTACTGTAGATGAGGCATCCTTTCCAACTTGATCTCTGATAACACATTGCAAATATTAGTACTGGTAGCACACATGTGAATTGCTGAGTTCAGACTGTGAAGTTCATTCATAGACTTCAGAAACAATACAGTGATGAAAGAAGTGCGAATCCTTATGAAGTATTTTAAATTTGTATTTATCTCTTGGGTTTTGGTTCAGGTTTGTCTAATACTAACACAATGACAGATTGCTTTTTCTTAACAATAGCAAGTGTTTCACAGTGTAGTCTATATTGTCTAAAGCCACCTGAAGTGGGCGTTCTTAACTGTACATTTTTAAAGCACATTTCTGCTTCTGAAGACATTTGTTCAATATTTAATACCTTATGTGATCTACAACTTGAGACAATGGTGAGTACTGGAATGAGAAAATTACAAAACTGTGTTCTGTTATTGGTTTTGTTATTGTTCTTGCATGTTATAGCAGAAGCTTAGTAGTAGCTGGGTCAAAGTCATCTTGCCTTTGTGAAAATGCACGCTTAGAGTGTATAATGGGGAGGTTGCACCTTTCAGAAAGATCAGATGTTATCTATACTTAGGAGAGGCAGGAAGGAAGGCCATCGATGTGTTTTGGCAAACTAATTCTTATGGACCTGATAAAGGTATTCATATTCTGTTTCTACGTAGCCTGCACACTGTATGGGTAAGAACTTCTGTAATGAGCCTTGTTTTCGTAATAAGCCCTGCACAATGACGTTAAGAGACAGGGGCTTACCACGGTAAGACGTTACTGAGATTACTGGGGGGGCCTTCTTCTTCCTTTTCCTTCAGGTTTAATTTAGGAGTGTGAGTGATTATAATATAAAAAAAATAAAGAATCACCCACCTGGGAACTCAGTCATATTATCAATGTCCACTAATGACTCCAACAGTTCATTAGAGTTAGCCTGTAACTGAAAAGGAAAAGCAGAGCTGGAAATAAGCTATGCAGGCTTAACTGGCTAATTATGTTAGTAAGAGTTCATTTTTTGGATAGGCACTTTTAATTAGTGTTCTGAACTACTTTTGCCCTGAAGGTAAGCAAGGAAGGTAATACCTTGTAAAGATGTTTCAGTTTTCAGCTGCCTGCCAGGTTAATGAGCCAGCTTGTCTTTTCTGGTTGTTAACTTGTAAAATGAAGAGAACTTGGGTGGTTTTCATGTGCTAGAAGAAAGCTCTAGAAGGAGGAGGAAAAAAATATATTGTTTTGAGTTAACTCTGTGTAAGGCTTGCCTGTAACTGTAAGGAAAAAACTGTTTCAACTGTGAAGCAAAACAATGACAAAGACCTGATTATTGAAACTTTTGCCTGTGCCTCTGCTGTTGTCTGCATTATGTCCCTCCTTCCCTTCTGCCCCAATCTTTATTATCTCATTTCCCCATAAAGGATATGAAAAAAATAATTCATACCTCTTGGGCCATGTATAAGTTGGTGCAGTTACCCTAGTTGGTAACTTCTGTCCAGAGATACTCCAGCTGTATAGGAGGCAGACTGCGCCTAGGATGCTGCAGAAGTCTGCAGCTGTCGTGTAGCTATGTTGCTTCCAGAACTTAGCTAAGAAGTTTGCAGTGAGCTAAGCCGTTTGGACTGAGATCTCTGTGCATGTCTCTTATTGAATGCCATAGGTCTGCCGTCAAGACACAGTGCGTGCACGACAATCAGATTGTTATGGGTGGAGGTAAATCATGCTCTGGCAGATTGTCACCTAAAGACTTTTATGGGATACACAGAAATATGTAAGGGAAGGTCTTTCAAAGCTTACTACTTTTGATTATACTTGAACAAAAACTGCTGGCCTCCGTCTTTTGAAGGTGCTGTTGTGGAAAAATGAATAAATGGGAATTTATGAGGGTCCCTTAATCACTGGTGACACTAGTTAGAGAGGTGGGGAGTGTGGAGAAAAGTTATTAAGGAATTAGTCTTTAAAAGCGGCTTGCTAATGAGAAGCATCCTACTCATTGTAATAGAGAAACATCAGAGCATGAAAGGCAATTGAAACAACTGTTTGTATGCATGATAGGAATCTGTTTGGAAATGAATTGTAAAGGGAGATAATCATTATTGGATTAGCGTGATCTATGGAGAGGAATTAATGGAACTAGAAAAAAAAACAACAAGATTTTTCTTTTTTTATCAAATTCCTATCCTTGGTTACACATAGGGTAGATCCTTTTCATAGCTCAGCACTCAAGAAGTGTATTATTATACTTGTCCTTGGAAATTATTTGCTGCTTTCATGCTTGGGATGTTACTGGAAAATTAAAGAAACATAAACAAGTGAACC